GGACCATTAATTGGGTTATTTTCACTTATTTCTTCTGGTCTCTGGGCCTTAAATAGGCTGACTAACTTTGTGAAACAACAGGTAAATAATTTGGTAGCAAAACCTATTCAGATACATTATCATAAGTTAGCTATGGAGGACCATGAGACTCAAGATGAAGTTGTTACTCTATCCAGGGTGTTCCCAAAACCTATCTCCACCCAACCTAAAAGAGGGGACTTCTGCTCCAAGACCAAGCAGAGAGGGGCCACCCAGAACCCCCTCTGACTGATGATCTGAACTCTTGCTTAGGCTGCGAGGCTAAGCACTGCAAGGGAATATAAATAATAGTTAAAAATATCTCTCTGGGTTCCCTGAGGGACAAGCCTGACTGCATAGGAGTGGATGTCAAAAGTATCCCTTCTCCAGGAAAAAGACATCGGGACGGGTATGCCCCTCATGCCTCACTGGACAACGACAGGGGGACTGGAGCCATTACAAGGTCCCCTTCAAATGCTGGAGGTCAGGCCTCTATCCCCGCCTTCGCAAGATTAGAATTGCCACAGCCCTTCTATACTTAGAGATGGAGATGTCTGGGGCAGCCCTGCTTATACACTGAAGGCCTAAAATCAGCCATAGGCCTAAAATCAGCAATAGGCCTGTCATACATGTATACTAACACCAAGTCTTGGGTCTCTGTGGAAAAACATTGAAACAGATGGCTATAAGCTTTTGTAAACAGGCAGCTTTTATGGAAATTTATCAGCCTGAGTGAATAGTCATAGACCTTGTAAATAGGTAGCCTTGGCAGACAATACCAACTTAGATAAGGACAAGTGAATCATAGGCAGAGTCATAGTGACTTGTCCCCTGAACCTTCATCCAGCCGATACCCGGTTCTGAAAGATATCTGTATCCCCCCAAACACCCACTCTCCAGTGTCATCCCCTTCCCCACATCCTGCCTTTTTGTGTTTATAACCCCTGTGTGAATAAGTAAAAAATATGATTTGATTTAAAATAAATAAATAAATAAATAAATAAATATGAAGGGAAAAAAAGAAAAAAAAAGACAATTCAGGTATAGGAAGGTGTGAGGTTTGCATATGCTTGGCCCAGGGAGTGGCACTGTTGGGAAGCATGGCCTTGTAGGCCTGGGCTTTAATACCCTTGTCTTAGCTGCCTGGGAGCCAGTATTCCACTAGCAGCCTACAGATGAAGATGTAGAACTCTCAGTTCCTCATGCACTATGCCTGCCTAGATGCTGCCATGTTCATACCTTGATCATACTGGTCTGAACCTCTGAACCTGTAAGCCAGCTCCAATTAAATGTTGTCCTTAGAAGACTTGCCTTGGTCATGGTGTCTGTTCATAGCAGTAAAACCCTAACTAAGACAGAAGGGCTCGCAGATTCAGAGGCTCTGCTCTATGAGCAAAAGGCCTTTCCTGCTCTAAGCCTCTGGGAGCACATCACATCACATCCTGGCAGAAGCATGTGACAGAGGAAGCCTGACAATTCCGTGCAGTAGGAGCACAGTGAGGAGGTTCGAGGATCCCAGTATCCCTTCAAGGGCACGCTCCCCACAGCCTAACTTCCTCCTACTAGGTTCTGTCTCTCACAGTTTCGAACCGATAGCATCACAGAGTGGGGGACGGGCCTGCAAAGCTTTGGAGGTCACACATCCAAACCATAACATTCTACTCTGTACCCCAAAGTCTCATCTCCCTTTCATAATGCAAAATCCATCATCAGGCAAAGGTTAACTGCTTCACTGTCATTCAAAAGTTCAAAAGCAAAGCTCGCTCCAATGCACAAGGCAAATTCATTCATGAGCTCCAGTGAAAACCAAAAGCAAGCTACACATTTCAAAGATACAGCATAGCTCAACTTTCCCCAAGGGAGGGAAAGAGGATCTGGACTAGTGGAACCTCAAAACTCAGCAGGGAAGTAGATTCTGTAACTCCACTTCCAGCATCTAAAGCACACTGTGATGTAAGCTGCAAAGGCACGTGCAACCCTCACCTATAAGCCTCCTGGCTGCAGTCAGCACAGCCACTCTCTTGGGCTGGCTGTGCTTTCTGCCTGGCATGCCCCTCGGCGGGCATTCCCTGTTCCTGATATCTGACATGCCAGGTCTCCAGGGCTTCTCTGGCCTCACACCTCAGTCTTGGGAATTTCTTGCAGGACTTCAACCTTACCATACACAAACAAGTCACAGGTGAGCTGTCAGACATGGGTCCTGTGTAAGAGCAGTACCAGCTCTTAACCAACCAACCATTTCTCCAGCCTCCCAATAGGCAACATTGTAAAAGTTTATCTTGGGGCTGGTGAGGTGTCTCTGCAGGTAAAGGAGCTTGTTTCCAAGTCTGATGATGCAAATTCAATTCCCAGGACTCCACCAGTTGTCCTCTGACCTCCGCACATGCTCCATGGTTCCTATACACACACGAAAGCAAACAGGATAAAATGATTTTTAAAAATGATCTCAGCTACTGGGTTCACTCCATGGCCCTGTGGAACAGTATGACTTGCAGATGTGAAGACTTATGCGCAGGGGTGTGGAAGGGACTGGCACCCAGGACTCCTCATGTCGTCACTTCTGCAAGGCTTCATGTCTTAAAGGCTCTGCTACTTCCAACAGCACTGTCTCTAACGCTTGGCCCTTTGGGAAAAGTCATCCAGATGACACTGCTAGGTATGAAGAGGGGGACACACAATCATGTTTTGCTGACCTTGAAATAATGATTCATCAGCCAAAAGATACACACCCGGGGAGCCTTGGGCCTGCAATACACACAAACCCTCTGCTCTGACGAACGTTGGCTCATGGCTCGGCTTTGAGTGGCAGCCCATAGCTATAAAGTCTCCAGTTCAGGGGTAACTGCAAAGGCACCTGCAAAGTCATTATGGTCATCAGGGAGGGAATGGGAGAAAACTTTGAAGAACATGTCAACAAGCTCTTGAGGAACATGCCCGTTGGCTATAGACTGGGTGACATGACCACAACTTCAGTGAAAGACAAGGAACAAGAGTGAAGCTTGAAGCATTGCTTACAGTTACCATTGTGTAGTTACAGCGTGCTATGTGCTCCAGCCCTGAGCAAACGAGGGGCCGGGGTTTGAGATCATAGCCTGGCTTATCATCTGTGTGCCAAGACACAGTAATAAAATGGCAAGTAACGGCTTATAAATAGGACTAGGAATCGGAAGTACTAGAATTTATCATTTTTAAACATATATTTCTACATGCACCCCACCCTACATATAAACATTGTAATGGTTTGAATAGAACACGTACCCACTCACACATGTACTGAGGGTTTAGTTACCAGTGGATGAACTCTTATGGATTCTGTCCTCATCAGTGGGCTAATCCCTTCATGAATTCATGAAGGTATGATATCATGAAGAAGGGATAGAAGTAGGAGGTAGGGCTGGAGAGATGGCTCAGCAGTTAAGAGCACTGACTGCTCTTTTGGAGGTTATGAGTTCAAATCCCAGCAACTACATGGTGGCTCACAACCATCCATAATGAGATCCGATTCCCTCTTATGGGGTATCTGAAGACAGCTACAGTGTACTTACATATAATGAATAAATAAAAATCCTTTGGGCTAGATCGGGGTGGAGGGGAGGAAGTGAGTGGGAGAAGGGGGGAGGAAGAAAGAAGCAGGAGCTTACAGTTGGCAGCAGATCACTTGGAGGTGTGAGAGAGATGCAGATGTGGCCTTTCCTTCTGGCAGCAAACTCTACAGTGTTACCCTGCTACTGTGAAGTTCTACTTCACTGCAGGGACAAGGAACTGATACCTCCAAAACCATGAGCCAAAGTAAGTATTTCATTTTTAGTTGTTTTGCTTATATATTGCCATCACAAGCAATGAGGAGGTCTCGGGTACACATTTATGTGTGTGACTAATTTCTGGCACTGGCTGTGATATCCTAGTAACAGTGAGAAAAATCCAGCCTCGTTTTCCCTTCTAAATGACATTCTTCCTAACTTTTTAGCTCCTTAGAGAAAACAACGGTTCTTGAGCTAGCCAAGGAGATGCAGAAAATCCTGGTGCCAGAAAATAAGGAAGTACTCCAAAAATTATTAAAAGATGTCAAAGGCCTGAGGGACTAGCTTGAAGGAGCTTCCCTTGTGAGCATCGAAATGAAATAACAAAGAAGACAGGTCTAACCTACACCAGAAAAAAGCAGACAGAGAAAGTGTTCCCTCCCTCTAACAATCACAGACTAAAATAGCGCTAGAAATTTCCAAGCAGCTTAGCGATGAGCAAGCTCCAACAATGAACCAAAAACAGCAGGAGAAAGCTTGTTGGTGGACAGGGCTGAGTGCCCCACATGCCAGTGATTAACCACAAAGGGAAAATAGTCACCTCTGAGGCCACATGACTGATTACTAAGAACAGGGAAACCTGCATCTTGATGTAACACTAAAAGGGTGGTTATTACTCTCAAATGAAACCGTAGGAAATAACCAGACAAATCCAAATTGAGGGGCTTTTGGGGGTAAACTCACCTGCCACCAAGCCTGATGACCAGAGTTTGATCCCCAGATCCGCATAGTGGAAGGAGAGAAGCAATTCCTTCAAGTTGTCCTCTGATCACACACCAAAGCCATGACAGTCGCTTCACACACACACACACACGCGCATGCACACACAAAATAAATGTGCATCAACAACTGGAGACTCGGTGCAAGGCACATGATACAATCCTAGTAACAATTTACAGGATCAACCACTTTCATAACAAAAGTGTTTTGAAATACAGGAACACCTTCTGGATCTGGAAATCACAGAAGTCAATATTAGATATTACATCTTACTGAGAATCTATTCTGCTAGACAAACTGATATCAGACATCTCATTTAGTCATCAACAAGTCATAGGGCCTACTCTATCACTAACAGTAAAGGAACTGAGGCCTGTAAAATAAACTGCCCAAAGACCGTATTATCTTACCCAAGCATTAAAATTAATTCCTTGGGGGAGGAAAACAAACAATACACAGGTATGTTGTATTAATCTGTTTTTATTGCTATAACAAAATCCTGAAGGCAGGTTAATTTTATGAAGAGATTTAGGATTTAGTTAGCTCATAATTCTGAGATCCCATGGCAAGGTGCTACCATTGGTGAAGTTCTGGTGACAACCCTCCTGGTGTAGCACACCGTGGAGCATGCATGGGGTAAGGGGGACTGAGACATCACACAGCCATCAAGCAGCTGGGCAAAGACTAAGAACTCTCAGCCTCTCAGCAGCACAGAGCCCAGCCCAGCTGACCTCAGTACCTCCCACTTCCTCTCTCCTCTCACGCCCCACATGGAGTCCAAGCTCCAACATGTAGACGACCTCTGAGGGCCACAGGAATCATTACCCACATCAGTGTGAACCAGAGCCAGGCAACTACAATTCTGCCTCGCCCCCATTCCCCTTCTGGTTTTCTTGTTTAGATTGAGATTTTTACTATAAAAATGAAATATTCAGAAAGTACCAATGAATGTTTTCATAGAGCACATAACTTTACTGCAGGCACAGGAATTCTTTATGCAATCAGTGTCCAAGGTGCGCAGATCTGATTTTTCATGATTGTAAAAGGCAGGGGTAGGCTGCAAAAGGCCAGCTTCTCAACTGACGCTCTATTTCCTCTGATCTGTTCACAGTGGGATATTCGCATGTTTCCGCCAAGGACGATGGACCTTCTTGCTGGCCAGGACTTCCAGGTCACAGCATATCCGAACACGAGTAGAGGATGGCTGGATGATGTCATCTACAAACCCTGGTGAATCAAAGACAAAGCCATCACTGTGTTCGTGACGGAAGTCAACCAGCCACACGCTCAGTCCCACGGCCCAACCATGTGGGCAGCCCTTGAGGTGGCAGAGACACACTAGGCCCTTAAAACCTCTTTAGACCCCTGAGGCCTCCCTGCTCTGCCAGGTTCTCAACCTCTGGCATAGAAGCATTAGGCAATGTAAGGAAAATGTGGCTTCTCCCTTCCTGCACTGATCCAGGACCTCTGCCCTGCCAGGATGGACAAGAGAGGAAAAATTAAAAAAATATATATATGGGGCTGGAGAGATGGCTCGGCAGTTACGAACACTGTTGCTTTTCTAGAGGAAGACCACTAAAGCTACTTCAAGTAGTTCAGAACTGTCTGTACCCTCAGCTCAAAGGGATCTGATGCCCTCTTCTGGCCTCCACAGACACACACACACACATCATAGATAGACAAATAAATGATAAAACAAAAAGTTTTAAAAAGAAAGAAAACCACTCACAACAACTTCTCCATCCCTGCCTATAGGTCCTTGTACAGTAAATTTTGCTTCCTCTATGGAGAGTCGTTTTCTTCCCTGCCCTGGTGACTAGCTTTTACCAATACAATGTGACAAAACTTAACACCAGGAAATTCCAAACCCAGGCCTCTGGGCATAAGTTCTCTTCCTTTTTAGCTATTCGGATACCAAGAACACAAGCCTGGACTGGTCTAGAGAAGTGAAGAAGGCCCAGCCATTGGCCAACATTACCTAGAAAGGGGGTAGGCCATCTTGGACTGTCAAGCCAGCGGCTGATTACAGCCATGAGAATAACCCCAGCAAAACCCAAAGAACCACCTAGCTAAGCCCAGAACACAGTGAGGGAAAGAGAGGTGGTTTTATCTCGGGCAGGCTGAATGACTGGACCAACACCTAAAAATAGCACACTGTCGGCTGCCTGCATAGGCCTACTGTGTAGACCCAGATCCTGCCCAGGGACAACCCCATCACTCCCTGAACAGATACAACTACAAAAACCAAAGACGACTATGTAAGACTTTCTAGAAAGAACAAGCAAATGACTGGGCAGACAGACAACACCTGGTCCCCACCAGGCTCACCTCTCACGGCTGCAGGGAAAGGGTTGGCAAACTTCTCCACGTATTCTGCCTGGGCAGCTTCCACATCTTGGTGTCCTTTGAAGATGATCTCCACAGCACCCTGTCAGAGAGAAGTTAAGCTTCCCCAGAGTAGGATCCCAACTCAGACAGAGCTGTCAACTCCTTGTCATTCTGTGTGATTGTGAACTTCACAGTGAATCAGAGCAAAGAGGCCATGCACAGACAGGATGTCGGCCTGTGGCTCCAGTCCCATCCCTCTCCTTCCATGCTCCTGATTGTTCACTGAAGCCAGGATGCTTGGCCTGTTTTCCACTAAGTGCTGCTTTCTTTCCTTCACTACCCCAAGCCCTGGGCACACAACACACTCCTCAGGAAGCATGCATGGAAGGCTCGGCCTTCAGGTGAGGACACTTGTTAGTCATCTCTGGAACCCTGGCTCAACCTTGATAGCTCTTTCAATGCCAGAGGAGCATCACCCAAGACAGAACAATTGTTTAGCTTCTAGTGGGTGGAAAATGGTGGCTTTGAGCACCCCAAGGGCTGACATGAGGTGATGAGAACCTCTGACCTCTCAAAAGTAAATTCAGCTGATCTGCCCCTCCCTCCGTGGGTGCTTTCCTCTGCTCTGAAGACACCAGTGTGCTCCCTGTGGGAGGACAGTGGGACTGATGGGGAAGGAGACTTCACTCCAGGCCTGAACTAGACTCTTTCCACAGTTCCAGTCACACAGAACTTTATCAGCAGAGGTCCCCAGGCCCAAGAGAATACGGCTCGGTGTCTTTACCTTTGCACCCATAACTGCAATCTCAGCTGTGGGCCAGGCATAGTTGGTGTCACCAAGAAGGTGTTTGGAGCTCATGACATCATAGGCACCTCCATAGGCCTAGAATAAACCCAGATGCTGAGTGGCAATGCCAGGGACAAGCACATCATATCCCCAAACACTGCAGGAAACCAAGGGTAGGAAGCAGGGCCATACCCTACTGACCCTGTAAGGCTAAGGTTCGGATGGTCCTTCACAGCTCACACTGCCTGCTGCTGCTGGAGTGCTGTGGACACCCCTGCAACCCAAGTGCAGGACTGGAGACAGCACCCTAGATATTTCACAGGCGGGAGCAGTAGGCATGCCTCCTACCAGTCCAGGCCACACTGTGGCAGACCACCTCAGCCATGCTGCTGGGAGCATGGGGGGATGGGCTCTGAGGGGACATCCTCACCTTCCTGGTGATGACTGTAATTTTGGGCACAGTTGCCTCAGCGAACGCGTAGAGCAGCTTGGCACCGTGCCGTATGATGCCCCCATATTCCTGCGCCGTGCCTAGGTCATGAGGAAGAGTTACCAGCTACCATAAAAGTTCTTACAAGGTCTCATGGCTGAGACCATCCTCACAGTGCTCTGAGAACCTTGAGAGAGCTCTGCATACCCTGAAGACAACCACCTCTCCCACCTAACCCATGTCAGGGACTCACCAGGCAGGAAGCCAGGGACATCAACAAAAGTGATGAGGGGAATGTTGAATGCATCACAGAATCTAACAAAACGAGCCCCCTTCACAGATGAATTAATGTCCAAGCACCCTACAAGGAGAAAGGTTGTTCATGGGATGCGCCTCGACAATCTCAGCTCTGTCACGTAAGGACAGGACAATCAAAGAAGAGATCCAAAACCTTCACAGACTTATCAAATCCACCAATGCACAATCACTGTGACAGTAACAAATAGAAGAGTAATGACTCACAGCCAAATAGAATTCAATAAAAAGAAATCAGGGCATGAGGTTTGAATTCAGATCCCCAGCACACACATGAAAGCCAGGCACCATGGTGACTTTGTCATAGAATCTCAGTGGTGGGAGGAAAGAGACAGAAAGATCCTGGGGCTCACGGCCAGCTGCACCAATCAGTGACCTCCAGATTCAGAGACACAGACCCTGTCCCAAAAATATAGAAATGTGATGGTTTGTATATGCTCGGCCCAGGGAGTGGCACTATTAGAAGGTGTGGCCCTGCTGGAGTGGGTGTTACCCTGTTGGAGTGGGTGTGGCCAATTGGAGTAGGTGTCTCATTGTGGGCGTGAGCTTTGTCCTAGCTTCCTGGAAGCAAGTATTCTGCTAGCAGCCTTCAGATGAAGATGTAGAACTCTCAGCTCTGCCTGCACCATGCCTGCCTGAATGCTGCCATGTTCCTGCCCTGATGATAATGGACTGAACCTCTGAACCTGTAAGCCAGCCCCAATTAAATGTTGTCCTTATAAGAGTTGCATTGGTCATGGTGTCTGTTCACAGAAATAAAACCCTAACTAAGACAAGAAAGTTCCTGTATGAACCTCTTGACCCCACACATATGTGCACATGTGCCCACACATGAACACACGCACACATAAAATTACTGAACAAAAGAGCTTTCCTATGATGACACACATAAATACAGAAACACACTGAAATATACAGAAAATATAACTCCATATCCATTCATCTTTAAAAACTAGCAGTAGGGACTGGAGGGATGGTTCACCAGTTAAGAGCACTGGCTACTCTTGCAGAGGGCCCAGGTTTGCCTCCCAGGACCTACACGGCTAACAGCCATCTGAAACTCCAGTTACTGGAGGGTCCAATGCCCTCTTCTGACCTCCACAAACTTTGAATGTCTCTTCAGTGAACACCTGCCTAGCACAAATGAGACCCTAGGCTCCTTTCCTCGAACACACATGCATGTGTGCACACACTTGCAGATGCTGTGGTGAGTCAGGGGAGAGGTCAGTTCAGTGAATACAGCTCAGCTGTGTCCAGGCAATGCAGTGGGTGAGTTCAGTTTGGAAGAGTTCGGATTGGAGTAATTGTTGGTGAATCAGCTTAGTCAGTCCAGTGCAACTGAGTTCAGCTGAGTTGTCAGTGAGCTCATGCAGTTCAGTGCAGATCAGCAGAGGCAGTCGAAACCAGAGAAGAAGGGACCAGAAGATTAGAACAAATTGCCAGAGTTAGTCTGAGGCCAAGCAGGGCAATTCAGAGAGAAGCCAGATTCAATCAGTCAGATTAAAGAGTTTGAGCCAGAACAGCTAACTTGCACTAGCCAATCCAAGTTTAGAAAGAATTACAAAGTATGAACTAACTCAGTAGTAAGCCTCCAGGATGACAATTACATCTGGTGGATAAAAGTTACTTTCACAGAACATCTACCGAAATCTCACAGCCATCATCATATCTAATGGTGAGAGAGACACTTTCCCAGGCACAGAACTGAGATGCAGACACAGCAGGCTGGAAGCCAGCCTAGTCTACATACTAAGTTCAAGGTTGCTGATGGAGACCCGCTCCCTGCTTTTCCATACTCTACAAGCTAATTCAATAGGAAATCATAGAATGCTAGGTTTGGTGGTGCAGGCCTATGATCCCAGCACTTGGGAGGTGAAGATAGGTGGTTATTTGTGAGTTCAAGGCCAGTCTCAACTATATAGTGAGTTCCAGGGCAGATAGAGAGGCCTTGTCTCAAACAAAACAACAACAACAAACCTATAGAAGAGGCATACAGAAAGTATGTCATCTGTGAATAGTAACAGCTGGAGTCCATAATAGTCTGCATAGAAAGCACGAAAAGACACCCCACCCCCAATAATACACACACATACAATTTTTTTTCAGTTTGCTTATATATAAAGTCTACTTAAAAACAAAAACAAAAAGGTGGTCCACAGTTAGCCTATCCTCTTGTGGTAAAAAATACCCCAAATATAGAAACAGAGATAACTGGATTTCCACATGCAGAACAAAGCTGGACCACAAACCACACACAAAATTAACTCACATTCAACCAAATCTAAATAAATATAAGGGCTAAAATCAATTAGAGAAGACACGGGGACAACTCAAACATGGTGGTGTATGTCTCTAAACGCAGGACTAAACACTGGGCAAGCAGAAGCAGGTGGGAATTGAGGCTAGCCAGGGCTATACAGGGAGACCCTGTCTGACAAAAAAGAGAGAAAGAAAGTGTGTGAGGTTGGGGGTGGGGTGGAGGAGATAGACAGACAGACAGATAGGGTAGCTGGGATTGCTGTTAATGGGACACAAGTATGCTTCTGTAAACATCAGTTATGCTGCCCGTAGGTTATACGATAAATGCTAATGAGGAAATTGGACATGTGGTATATGATTCCTGTTGCTGCTACTGTTTCTGTTAAAGCAGGTCTTTTGGATGCAACCCAGGCTGACTTTAAACTCAGGATTTTCCTGCTTCACCCTACCTAAGTGTCATGACTACAGGCACATGCTACCAAAACCCACTGACAGGAACGCTGACTTTTGTGGGTGGGTTTTTTTTTTTTTTCTGAGACAGGGTTTCTCTGTGTAATAGCTCTGGCTATCCAGGACTTGATTTGTAGACCAGGCTAGCCTCAAATTCACAAAGATGTGCCTGCCCCTACTTGCCAAGTGCTGGGATTAAAGGCGTGAGCCACCATGCCCAGCTTGAATTTTGTTTTCTAAAGATGAGAGACCACAGTGAACTGAGGCAGTGCCCATGTCCCCATCCACATGGCACCACTATGAGAGGTTCCCCTCCATCAGTTACGACTCAGATCTGGCATCACCCCACAATGTGAGAGATGCTGTGTTTCAGGTGCTGACCACTATGTCTGTAGCAACTGCCAAAGACACTTGAGACACAATGAAGACACCAGCCCCCTCAGCAAGGGGCAACAGAGAGGCATCCCTTAAAAATGTAGACCTTCTAAGCTAGGAAGGGACATGACCTTTACACCCTGAGAGCCCAGCTGAAAGGAGCTTTTGAAACATTTAACATTAGGAGAAAGAGAGACATCTTCATAACATGCCTTTGAGTTTCTCCTCTTGCCATGGAAGGGCAGAAGGCAAACAGAACATCAAGAGTGCAAGCAACCCTGGTCCCCCAAACCAACCAGAGTTTTCTGGGGCCCTGTCCTACCTGAGGCCACATTGGGCTGGTTGCCAACAATTCCAACGGTCCTCCCATTCATCCTTGCAAAGCCAACGACAATGTTTTTTGCATAGTTGGGCATGATCTCAAAAAACTCTCTCTCATCAATCACCTGTAGGAATAAATTTCTTCCTGTGCTCAAAATGATTGAGACAAAAATGCTATGATACATAACCCCAGACAGCCTTACAAAGGACAACAATAGCCCAGCCCAGCACAGTCATTCTTCCTTTGCTGCAGGGGATTGGGCAGGACCCCCTCACACAGCAAAGCTTGTTGTAAAAAAAAGTCTACAACTTGAATCTGGCATTAATTGTGGCAATTGGTATGAAACTATTTCAAGCTTACATAAAATCATCACAAATAGTACAAAAGGGCTGGAGAAATGGCTCTGAGGCTAACATCACTTACTGCTCTTGCAGAGGAGCTGAGTTTCTTTCCCAGAACCCATGTTAGGAAGCTTACAATTACCTGTAAGTCCAGCTCCAGGTGATCCAACACTCTCTTCCGGCCTCCACAGGTACTGCATTTATATTTTACACACACACACACACACACACACACACACACACACACCAAGGATCCTTACTCAGATTCCTCACTAACTTTTTATTACTATTACCTCTTCCCACAATGGTCTCTTTTCTCAATGTGCAGATAATGTCATAATGTCATTTAAGACTAAGTTACAGATATGCATTTTATCTGAGTCTCTTACTGTCTAAGGACAAGGACACACCCTGATATAATGGTAGTGATCTATAAAGCAGATGTCTTAGTCAGGGTTTCTATTCCTACACAAACATCATGATTAAGAAGCAAGTTGGGGAGGAAAGGGTTTATTCAGCTTACACTTCCACATTGCTGTTCATCATCAAAGGAAGTCAGGACTGGAACTCAAGCAGGTCAGGGGGCAGGAGCTGATGCAGAGGCCATGGAGGGATGTTACTTACTGGCTTGCTTCCCCTGGCTTGCTCAGCTTGCTTTCTTATAGAACTCAGGACCACCAGCTCAGGGATGGCACCACCCACAATGGGCCCTCCCACCCTTGATCACTAATTGAGAAAATGCCTTACATCTGGATCTCATGGAGACATTTCCTCAAGGGAGGCTCCTTTCTCTGTGATAACTCCAGCTTGTGTCAAGTTGACACACAAATCAAGCCAATGTCAGCGAATGCTAATTTTCACTACACCATCTCACACAAATGTGAGCAGCTGCAATTCCTGGGATCCAGTCTCAGTCCCTATAACTTTTTCACCCATCAGTATTCCTCGTCCATCATGACATCTGAATGAGTCACCAGGTGAAGAGTGTCTTCTTGTTTGGGTGTGTGATTTCCTCATGTTTGGAATACCACAGTAATTTCTAAGTGTCTCGCATTAGATGATGTCAATCTGTCCTGTAATCGTGGGACCTGTTTGGGTTCTCCTCAATCAAATCAACTGCTTTTCCAATCAAATTATAATGAACATTTTTCCTGCTTTTTATCAGAATCCCATCAAAAATGTGGTGCCTACTGCCAAGTGTAGTGGTACATGCCTTTAATAAGTAGATGTATGTGAGTTCCTAGCCATCCTGGTTGACATGGTGAGCTCCAGGATATCCAGGTCTATAAAGAGAGACCTGTCTCAAAAAAAAGTGCCACACCCAATCAGTTTCACCCAATTACTGGTTCTTGCCCGGCTCCCTTGCAGCTATGACAGTTGTCAAATGTCAACTTCTCAATTCCCATTTCTCTTCTATGTTTATAAGCCAACACTCTGCTGTAGGAAACATCATTGCCTTTTTATAGTTCTGTGTTGTGGATTGTGTACATTTGCTGCCATTATTGAATGTCTAAATCGTCCATGTTGGCCCATGAGTACTCCTTCAATAAAGCTCCCATTCTTTTTTAATGGGTCCTAAAGCGAGCCTTACTTCAGTTCTGGAATTTAAGGTTCAATTCTGTTTCTTTCATGTCCGGCCCTGTAACCAAGCTTTTATGCAAAGGCTAGAATTCACATTTAAGAGTGTGTGCCATTGGGAGGTGGTGGCTCACATCTTTAATTCCGTCACTTGAGAGGCAGAGGCAGGTGGCTCGTTGAGTTTGAGGCCAGTTTAATCTAGTAAAGTGAGTTCCAGGACAGTGAGAGCTATATAGAGAAACCATTTTAAAAACAAAACAACAACAACAACAACAAAAAATAGTTTGTGTCATCACATCTAATCTGTTACAGAGAACCAAACTGGACAGCAAACACACATCCAACACGCATCTATGGGGAAACTGTGACTTGACACAAATATACAATTCTAGTCTAAAGCACTAAATTCATTCTAGCTTTCTAGTTTACCTTTTCCACCCCATAGCCCTCCTCCTCCACACCCCACCTAACACAACAACTCTCACTCTGATGATCCTTAAAATGCATTTACTTAATTTTCAAACAGAAAAAAATGGTTAGAAGACTAACAACCCACATGAGACACAAGTCCTTCAACATGAATTCAACATTTATTCATAGCTATTTCTGTCCTTAAATAGCCACATAGTAAAATAGTCAAGGTGAACAATCAAAATTTACTCATCTGGGTTAGGAACACACCTCAGTGGGACAGCACTTGCCCAGCATGCATGGGGCTCTTAGTTTAATTCCCAGAACCAATACATAACCCTCTAGTCATTTTGTTTTACTATCAAAAATTCATATAATTTAATATCTCTGTCTCTCATCCCTTTGACTGTACTCACACTGTGATGATCAATCTTAAATTGATCGGACTAACAAACATGTATGAGATTACAAACCTCTATGGTTATCTGTAAAGGTGTTTATAGAGCTGTAGACCGTTGCACTTTGACTCAAAGAGCAGATTAATCTCTTCCCAGTATGATAAGCATCAGTGGCAGGGAAAGGTGGGAGGTGGGGCCTAGCTGTAGAAAATGGCTCACTGGAGACTTGTCTAGAACCCTCCTATGTGCCCACCACCACCACGTCCTGTCCACCTCAGTGTGAGCCGCTTCAGCACACGGTATGTATAAACACTGTGAAACCATGGGATAGAATTAATTTCTTTGCTTCTCGTTACCCTCTCAGGAACTCTGCTCACAGCTACACAAAGTAACTAACTCCTCCCCCACCATCTACTCTAAGTAGATGTCTGATCTGTGTTTACGTTTGTGACAACTTCCTGTGTTTTACACGGACAGCAACGAGGTATTGATGTTTTCTGCACGGTTGGGGACTGCATCTCTTCACTCCTGGCAATTAAGTCCCATCAGGTCATGGATACTGTCTCACCCTCTTGTGCTTATATCTTGTGCTTACAAACTGAGGTGTAATATCTCTATGCTTTCATATTGTGGGGACTATACATGATGGACAAATTCCAAGAAAGGCAACTTCTGGACTATTTCCTTGGTCCTAAATTGTGCCAGCTTTCCCTACCTGCAGAGTATGAGAGGGGCTGTTTCCCACAGCCTTGCCAAAGGAGAACATTCAAACTTGACCTCTAGTCAATTTGACATACAAGAAATAGCTCAATGCAATTCATTTTTTTCAAGCCATGGCTGCCCTCCAACTCGGGAAACTGCTTGTTTCTGCAGGATCTCTTGCAGTTGGCCACTGTGTATACCAGGTAGCCAGGCCATGAGCTTCCAGGGATTCTCCAGTCTCCAGCTCCAATCTGGAGCACTAGCTGGAGTTACAGACACCTGCTACTGTGTCCAGCCTTGTGTAGGCTCTGGGGCTTTGAGCTTGGGGTCTCACACTTGAATGACAAAAGAGCCATCTACCCACAGTTCCACCATGACGAGTAAACTTGAATAGTTTCTCATATGCTTTAGGGTCATTTTTTGTCTGTTCAATGGTTTGTTTTTACATGACCTTTTTTTTTTTTTTATCAATTTTGGTCTTTCTTCTCTTGATTTGTAGGAATTTGTGTCACTGATATCAATACTTTCAGATATGGAAAATGTTTTCTACCAGTTTACAATCTTTTGGCTCTTATACTTTCTTCTATGAAGAATAGAATTAGTTTTTTCTTTTTGCTTTGCTTTGTTTGCTTGTTAGCTGAAGTAGATTTGAGACACAATTCAAAAGCATTTCTCTGCCTTCTAAAATCACAGAGCGATGCCCCTGTCTCCTGTGTGGTGCTCCCATGGATCTACTGTATATATGGAATTCTGACCTGCTTGGTTTTTACATTGTTGTTTTCTTGTAGATAAGGTCTCACTACATCACCCAGGCTGGCCTACAACTTAGCTTCTGCCTCATCCTCTGCAGTGCTGGGACCTCAGCCTGCAGCACCATGCTCAGCTGTCCCCCTCTGTCATGTGATGTACAGTCTGTTTCCTCCCAAGTGGCCCTCCAGTTGTCACAGCATCTTTTATTAAGAAAAGTAACCTTGCTCCTGGGCATGAATCTATTTTTATCATCCACTGAGACTCTCCCGGGCCTCTTTCTAGCTCTTCAGTTCCACGGCTGCTCTGTCTCTCATTGTTCTAGCTGCAAAGCTTTACCACAGACAAGGCTCTTCCCACTTGTAGATTTTGCAGCACATTCCCAGTGATTCGTGTACTTATCTATAAACATGTCTGGTTCTATAAAAGTGTTTATTCAGACTGCCTTCAAATTGTGAACTTAAGAGGAGCTGGCATTTTATGCTGACCCATGATAAGGAACAATGGTCTCATTTGCTTAAGTTCGCCCGACTCACCTCCTACATCACCCTTTTCTTCATTCGTCTGTAGCTCTGACATATTTAGGGTGTTTTCAGGGAAGGGCCTCTATATTTTTTAAAATGAAAGCTAAGTTTGCCTAGTCATTTCTGCTGTTTTTATTGTTTCAAGACATAGATTCTTCTGTCAGTGTTTGAAGCACAGTCCGGAAGTTTTGATGCACAGTGTTTTCCTTCAGTGTTAGAATTCTGCATTTGGTTCATATTACCATTTTTCCTTTAACAACCGTCTAACATAGTTAGACGTATCGTTTCCAGATACGAGAGTACTTTTATTTCAGTAGTTAAGAGTCTCTCGTTTATCTGGGCGGTGGTGGCGCACGCCTTTAATCCCAGCACTTGGGAGGCAGAGGCAGGCAGATTTCTGAGTTCGAGGCCAGCCTGGTCTACAGAGTGAGTTCCAGGACAGCCAGGGCTACACAGAGAAACCCTGTCTCAAAAACAAAACAAAACAAAACAAAACAAAACAAAAGAGTCTCTAGTTTAGAAGAGTATTATTTATATCTTTAAAATATCTTATATTTGTTTTGTTTTTATTTTATGTTATGAGTATTTTGTATACATGTTCATATGTGTACCACATGTACGTATATGCCTGCCACATGCAGGCAGTACCTGTGGAGCTAGAAGATCATTGGACCTTTTGAGCTACAGTTACAGATGGTTGTGAGCTGAGTTCGGGCAGTTCAATACAGGTCCATAGAGGCAGTTGAAGCCAGAGAAGAAGAAGGAGCCAGCATACTAGAACAGATTTCTAGAGTTTGTTTGAGGCCAAGCAGAGAAAAAAGTCAAATGCAGAGAGAAGCCAGTTTGAATCAGTCAGACTGGAGGGAAGTTTGAGCAAGAACAACTCAGTTGAACTAGCCATCCAGAGTTCAGAAAGAAATAGAAAGGGTGAGCTTATTGAGGAATAAGTCTTGGAGATGACAATTACTTTGGGCAAATAAAAGTTACTTTTCCAGTGTGTGTGTGTGTGTGTGTGTACATGTGTGCATGGGCGTGCACCACAGCTTGTATAAAGAGGTCAGATAACAACTTGTGGGAGTCAGATCTCTTTTTACCATGAGGTCCTGGTGCTTAATCAGGCCAATAGGCTTGGTGGTGGTGGCAGAGACTTTACATCTGCTGAGCTACCACACCAGCCAACTATTTGTAATTTTTTGTTTTATCAAAATTAATGTTTTCTTTCTGCCTTCATTCAAAATCTTTTGTCAGTGTTCCCCTGTAGTTGATAGTAAGATTTATTACCTAAAGATATAGAAAAAGCCATGAGAAGGGACAGCCTGGCCTTGTCTGACGATTCCTGCTTCAAGAATAAGGGAGTAGAAACAGATCACGGGCTGCAGGCCAGGCTGAGCCCACAGAACCACTGACATTCCACCAAGAAGCAAGAGCTGCCAAGAGCAGAGTGATGTGCAGAAGACAACTGCCACCTGCAAATGCACCCAGAGCCCAACAGCTGCCTTCACTGATCAAACCAGGACACAGCTGCACCCAGGAAGAGGCACCACACACATCCAGAGCTTCACACACACTCCCCTTTCTCTAGGAAGACACTGCAACCTGACCCGGAGCACCCAACAGGATCAACCCTGCCTCACTCCAGACCAGGATATGGAATCAATTCTGTGCATCTCGATGTCTCCTAAAGCCCCCGAGCAACTTGGGCCCAACCCTCAAGTCTATGTGAGCCCTCATGATGTCATAGCCACCAGCCCCTGCCAGAACATCCTGCCTAGTGGTCCTTGACCACTGCATTTTCCACCTGTGCAAACATTGAGACCAAGCTGAATACAACCCACTAAGCACACACACAATGACCATGGCTGAGGCTGAGCTAGGGCAGGCAAGACAAGACAAGACACTCACTGCATGTATGATGTCCAGCATGTTGTAGGCTTTGCTCGACTCCAAAGGGACAACTGTATCCAGCTCAGGAACCAGACGGTCACTAGAAAAGAAGCAGATGGAGTGAGTGTAGAAACCACTGTCTTCCTGTGGGAGCTGACTGTGTAATGTGTCCTCATTGCCCCTGTCACTATGTCACTAAACAGATCTGAGTGCAATTCTAACACATGTGGTTTAAAGGAAGGAGAGAGAGAGAGAGAGAGAGAGAGAGAGAGAGAGATGATTACTTCTGACCATAGTTCTTTTGTTTGCTTTTGCCCTTCCAGAATGTTTCCTATGGTGAAGACCCAGCATGGTTTCTAAAGGACACTGCAGAGAACAGGACAAAGCCTGGGAGCTCCTCTCTGACTTCCTGCAGCATCTAAGACAGAAGAGCAAAGAAACAGGTAGCGTCTCGTTCCCCCGCAGGTTAACCAGCTGCAGCCCCATCAAGCAGCAAAGCTGCAGGCCTGGTGGACACAATCACTACAGATCCATCACATCCTGTCCTCTGACTTTCTCTGGCACAGCAGAGATATCAAGATAGAGCATGTGCCCATTTCCCTGGAGAACCCATCAGCTTACAGGGCGGTCAGGAAAGCACTGCCCACAGCCAGACAGCACACACAAACACATTTCTTTAACGACATGCTTTTTACATCACTTAGATTGTTCCTTATCAAGACAAAAAAAAATCTTCTATGTTAAGACAACTCAAAAGTCTCAGCAAAACCTTGTGGTCTCTTCTGCCCCCAGAGTGATCCATCAGAAACTAGAGAAGTAGGGAAATCACCAACAACTGCCCCTGCCCCCAGATGTCCCCATCTTCACCACAGCTGAGACCTTGTTGACACACTCCCCAACCTGCTCCAAACTGACCTGAGGTCCTGTCAGGACAGAGAGGCCCAGAAAGCTAGAGAATGATAAACCCAATACCACCCACCTGGGGTCATGGCACTCTCGGATAGGAGCCGGGTCCTGGCTGCTGAGGGGCAGGAAGTTGAAGAACTCACGCAGGTTACACAGAGCATCGACGTCATTGTCGAAAGCTCTGTGGGCCACACCTGAGAACACAGAAAGAATGGGAGATCCAAGGGCTGGCGCTCATCTACAGACGACTTATGAAGATGTTCATAGGCTTCTCCAGCTTGGCCGCCACCAACCAAGCTGGCAACTCTGTCCGTGGTCCTGCCAAGAATGGGCACCCACAGCCTTTGCCAGAGCGAGTCCATTCTCCGCCTTGTGGTGCTCCTCTGCTGGCCCATGCCCTCATATTCTCTGCACTATAGGGAAAGGTCCTCCACATTTCGCTGCTCTCTGTAAGCAGTGGGACACTACTCTATACCAGCTTCCCCACAGTCGCTCTCTGCTTCACTGAGAAATGCCTGGTACACAATCGGGCTTACTAATGGGAGAGGGAAAGGAGGAACACCCTTAGCCCTGGTGAGGGTCAAGCTGTAGTTCTAGAAGTGTTGGGGAAAAAAAACCCAGCCAAACAAGGGCCTAGGCAAAACTCTTCCAGGCCTGCCTCACATCTGTTTCCACCAGTGCCCCATCGCGTCTCTGTTCTCAGAGATGCCAAAGGGAGATTTGTATATGAAACTACACCAGTCACCCCAACCCCCTTGATGTTCATCATGCAGCCAATCACTCTTCAACCCCATGGCTTTGCATAAGCAGTTGCCCATGCCTGGGGTGTTCCTCCCTTGACAGCCACAGGGGTGTCCTTTAAGTCCACTCACATAGCATCCTTGTGGTGAGCCCTACCCTTATCCATGGTTACAACCTCAACAATCCAACACCTGGCAGCCTGTTCTTTCCCTCAGACCATTTCACTTCAAAGGCACTACTTGACGTCCTCATATGCTGTACTGCCTGCCTCTCTTACTAGAGGGTAACGGCCATGTGGACAGGGTCTGTGTTGTCTCCACAGACACATTTCTAGCACCTAGCAAGATGCTTCATACACAGGCACTCACTGACTATCTGATAAATGAGAACGGAGTATTCTTTTCAACAAGACTGAGTCCTATTATTTAGAAAATATTTATAAACTGGCACAACATTCTGGAAGGCAGTCTGGCAGATCTTCCAAAAGATCAACAGCTATTCTACTTATACCTGAGCCTGTGCCAGCAAATAAAAATGTCATGCAAAAGCCCACAGACAAATGTTTATAAAAGGATATTATGTCATAAACACAAACATATATATGTTAGAAGACCAAATGTCTATCTGTGGATAAACAAGACATGTTAGGGCTGGGCCTCCAGCTCAGTGGTAGACCAGTTGTCTAACAAGCTGGATGCCCTGGATATAATCTCCATTACTAGGAAAAAGGAATGAACAAAGTGAATGGTAGCCTACACCTGTAATCCCGAAGCTGAGGCATGAGGATTAAGAATTCAAGGAGTACCCTCATAGAGGCAGGGAGAGGGGGGATAGAGTAGGGGGTTTCCAGAGGGGAGACCTGGAGAGGGGATAACATTAGAAATAGAAATAAAGAAAATATCCAATAAATTTGAAAAAAAAAAAAAAGAATTCAAGGCCAGCCAGGGTAACTTAGTGAGATCCTATCTCTAAAATAAGTAATTTAATTAGTAGTTATACATCTATACATTAGACAATTACTCCATTGAAAGGAATGAAGTAATGATATGTGACAAAGACTTGTCACAGACAAGCTTTAAAAATACATGGCAAATTAGGTACAGTGACACAAGACTATAATCCCACAAAGGAAAGATAGTCACTAGTCACTGTGTGAGGCCAGTCTGGTCTTCTTGTGAGTTCCATGGCAATCAGGAGACCCAGTGAGACACTGTCTCAAAACAAAAAATACGTGTAAAAAGTATACCAGTCAAAGACACCAGTCACCAAAGACCAACAGTTTTTAAATTTGAAAATAAAATTACATCATTTCCTCAAACCTCCCTCCTGTGCCATCCTCCCCCTTCAAAACTGCTTTCCATGGATTCTAGACTTTCAAAAGACATACATATGGGTCACTGAGATGGCTCAACAGGAAAAGCCACTTGTGATGAAGCCAGACAATCTGAGTTTGATCCCTGGGACCCACATGAAAAAGGAGAGAACCAATTCCCATCAGCTGTCCCCCACCCTCCATGGGTACTGTGGTGTGCCCCTTGCCACAGTCACACAAAATGTAGTGTACACACACACGCAAAACACGGCAGTTGACAAGAGATATTCTGAGAAGAGAAAAGAAACCAATAAAGGAAACAAGAGAGGGAACTGGGGTAGATATGAACAAAGTACCCAATAGACACAAATAAAAATGTAGACATGGGCCGGGCGGGACACGCCTTTAATCCCAGCACTTGGGAGGCAGAGGCAGGCGGATTTCTGAGTTCGAGGCCAGCCTGGTCTACAGAGTGAGTTCCAGGACAGCCAGGGCTACACAGAGAAACCCTGTCTCGAAAAACCAAAATAAATAAATAAATAAATAAATAAATAAATAAATAAATAAAGTAGACATGGTGAACAATAAATACACACTATGAAAAATTTAAAAGACAGCACTATTGTATGACCCCACTTACATGAACTATTCAAAATTAGCATACCCAGTGTGGCAGTTTGAATATGATTGGCCTAGAAGTGGCACTATTAGGTATGGCCTTGAAGGAAGTATGTCACAGTGGGCATGGGCTTTAAGACCTTTGTCCTAGCTATCTTCTCCTAGCAGCCTTCAGATGAAGATGTAGAACTCTCAGCTCCTCCTGCACCATGCCTGCCTGGACGCTGCCATGCTCCCGCCTTGATGATAATGGACTGAGCCTCTGAACCTGTAAGCCAGTCCCAATTAAATGTTGTTCTTATAAGGGTTGCCTTGGTTATGGTGTCTGCTCATAGCAGTAAAATCCTAAGACACCCAGAAATAAAGTCTGCTCATGACTGTGTATACTTCCAGCCGATAGAATCCTCGGTGTGCAGTAGGGTGTGACTAAAATAACTTTTTCCTCAAAGCCAAAAGTAAAAGTCCCAAGATAGCATTCCAGAGCATTTCTTTGCAAGTTCAGGTGAACGTATATAAATTACACCTACTTATGACCACCCAGACAGTTCCAAGATCACTTTACAGACGAGGGACTGTGGAGAATCGCTAGCCTAGCACGCGTGCGGCCCAGGGGTGTGGGTATGGGACATTAGTAATAACCTACCACTTAAGTCTCAGACTGCAATCTGCCTACCACTTCTGTGGATGCAAATCACAGTCTTCCTAGGAAAGTGCTGTCGGTGAAGTACTAGTTTTTAAAAATACCTCTCTCCACTCTGCATGGCGATACCTTCTTCTCACCTCTGGAGAGAAGGAAGGTCATGTTCACGCCTCTCACCTGACACAGTGGTGTGGGTCTTGGCACCACCCAGCTGCTCCTGAGTGACATCCTCATTGGTAACAGACTTCACAACTTCAGGGCCAGTGATAAACAGGTAAGACGTGTCCTGAAATCAGACGTCCACAGTGTCAAAGTCAAGTCACCATAGCTACTCAGAGCTTACTCAACCAAGACCACAAATGCAGAGGTGACAGAGGAGTGGTAGGACAAGGCTGGGACTCTAAATGCCCACAGGCTGAGGACTTGCTTTCTGAGCCACACTGTGATGGTTTAAATGAGAATGGCCCCAGACACTAACAGATTTGAATACGTGGTCACCAGATTAGGTTTGAAGGGATTAGGAGGAGTGGTTTTGTTGGAGAAAATGTGTCACTGGGAGTCAGGCTTTGAGGATTCAAAAGCCGATGCCAATATTGCCATGCTCCCTGCCATAATGACAGTGAAACTGTAAGCAAGCCCTAATTAAATGCTTTCTTTTGTAAGAGTTGCTGTGGTCATGGTGTGTCCTCACAGCAACAGAACACTAAGACACACACTATCCTCAGAAGAACACTGCCGTCCACTCCAGTCTCAGTATGTTAACCTGCAGTGTGGCAAACCTAGGGTCACAGGTAGCCCTGACTCGGAGTTCATGTACTGTGTGCTTATTTTGTAGTTCTTCCCAGGATTCTGTCATCACAACTTTTAAAAACTCCTGCAACTTCACACTTCCATGAAGAAACTGAGGCACAAAGACGGTACACAGTGAACAACCTTAAGTGAGGCTGCTTTTGTAAAACCTCATTAGCTAGTATTCTGGTATTACTGAGAGGACAACAGGGAAAGGAAGGGAAGGGGGAGAGACAGAGACAGACAGACAACTGATTGAGAGGCTGAGGTTCTGACTGGTTATGAAGCCCACACTGACCTCAAACTTAGATCATCCAGCCTCTGCCTCATGAACGCTAGGATTACAGGTACACACCACAATACCGGACTTTACTATGTAGCGTCTACTTTATGTAAAATATTTATATAGAAGGGGAGTGATGGAAAACAAATCTATATCTCTGATTTCCAAATTTCCAAACTCCATCCTGAAAAGCAGCCACTTCAGGCTCTCGTCTGTCTTTCCAGAGACATTCAATATGTGCAAACATATTTTCTCCTAGTTTCTAATACATTTTCTCACACAATTCTTTGTAACCGTGTTCTGTGCATATTATTTCCAACCAAATTTTCCTTATTTGAAAAAACAAAATATATGATATCTTAAAAAGAATTCATGAATTGTAGATTTTCCAAAACTAATTGCCACCCTTTGGCATAATTTAAATGATCACTCAAATATCTAGTCTCTTATTAAATAAGCAATCCTGCAGTAAATCTCCCACTCAGGACATCAGTTCGTACCACTGTCTGTGGATTTAATGGATGGTGGTGGTGGTGGTGGTGGTGGTGTGTGTGTGTGTGTGTGTGTGATCTGCACGCCCATGCATGTGCACACAATTTTCAGGAGTTAGTTTTCTCCACTAACATAGACAAACTAAGAAAAAAGAATAGCCTGATACTACCACTTTAAATGTCTGGTTTTTGTTTTTTGCTGCTGTTTTTTGTTCAATGCTCTCTAGGTTACAGTTACTGATACATTTTAAAAGACCAAGCTGGGCATGGTGGTGTGTGTATGCCTTTAAGCCAGCACTTGAGCTAGAGAATTCAAGGCCAGTCTGGTCTACATAGTGAGTTCCAGGAAAGCCAGGGCTAGGCTACATATTGAGACCCTGTCTCAAAATAAAATAAAATAAAAACAAAAATAAATATTTAAAAGGAGAACACTTGAATTTTTCAGATTGAATGCCCCCATCTGCAGACACATACAAATTGATTGTTGATGATTTTTGATTGTTTATTGAGACAGGGTTTCTCTATTTAGCCCTGGCTGTCCTGAAACTCACTCTGTAGACCAGGCTGGCTTTAAACGCACAAGAAATCTGCCTGCTTCTGCCTCCTGAGTGCTGGGATTAAAGTGCTGCACCACCACTGCCCACTTGGTGCAGGCTTTGGAGCAGTTGGTCATCCCAAGTCTATCCAGGGCTAACTACACACTAGTAAAAGCAAGTACCGCTGTCAGCTTGATCCTGCTTGATCGTGAGGCCAACTGTCATGCACCAGTGATCTTATTAATACAGATGTCTGAGGTGACCCTTTAAAGTCAAACGTTGCTTCTTATAGTATATCAAGGGACAGTGAAAAGACACCAATAGATGCGGCCTTTCACTTAAAGCTACAGTTATGAGTTAACATGTAATGATCATTAGCTCTCTGAGTTCTCTTTCCAGTTCTTATTTATAAAGATGTTCCTCATTTAAATTCATCAACAGCTCTAAGGGTCTTGCTGGAATCTCAATTTACCCAGGATCTGGGAGATAACAGAAAAACATCCAATGTTACAAAGTGTGTGAGTGTGTGAGTATCTGTTTGTTTGTCTGTGTGTGTGTCTTTTATGTTGTGTCCTTATTTAGAATCTTACCAGTAAGGTCTTTCCCACTACATACACACTGATTTGTAAGTGTTTGTAGAATATTACTGCTAACAATTTTAAAAATAAAAGAGCTAACCCCAGCAGTGGTGGCACACACCTTTAAATCCAGCACTTGGGAGGCAGAGGCAGGCAGATCTCTGAGTTCAAGGTCAGCCTGGTCTACAGAGTGAGTTCCAGGACAGCCAAGGCTACACAGAGAAACCCTGTCTAAAAAATAAAAGAAAGTAGAAAAAAATGGGGGTGGAGATCTGTGGATATATACACAAAAAGACAATTGTGTTTGCCTAGCAAACTTTGGGGGAGAACCTCCTATTTACCATCTTAGGCCTCTGCATAATTGGTCATTCACATGATTAAAATCAAATGCATCATCAGAAGGTATATGCCCAGGAGAAAAATGGAACTTTATCTGTTAATTAAAACAGAAAACAAGGGGATGGAGAGATGGTTAGGTGGTTAAGAGCACAGTTGTAGGGTAGCTGATGCCCTCTTCTGGCCACCGTGAGTACTACATGCTTTCTGTGCACAGACATACATGCGGGCAAATTATACATACATATAAAATAAATCTTTTTAAAAGTTTATAAAATAAAGAACCACCAAAACTACACCCCTTATGAAACCAACTCCTCCTTCCCTTGAACCCCATAAAAGCCCTAACAATTATGGGGCCATTCAGTACCTTCACTCCCACAATCCGCTGTCAATCTTAACAGTATATTTCTGGTCTGTATCTTAGCTTTATTTTGCGTGACATTACATTACACTCTCATCTCTGCCTGCACCTTGCCTGCCTGGATGCTGCCATGCTCCCACCTTGATGATAATGGACCAAACCTCTGACCCTGTAAGCCAGCCCTAATTAAATGTTGTCCTTATAAGACTTACCTTGGAATTGATATCTGTTCACAGCAGTAAAACCCTAACTAAGACAGAAACATAAAGAGTAGGGAACATAATGAGTGGGGGGCATAACAAGTGGGGGACATAAAGAAAGTGGGGGTCTGACCTGAGAACACTCAGGGTAGGAACTCTGAAATGTATAACAGGTACTTGTGAGCAGGGTCTGAGGGAGGCTGGAGGTTGACCTGGGCTTTGGTCTGCAGCCACAGGTCTATTTCAGTGGAGTCCTTTCTGTCAGAAGAGAAATTACCTTTTTTGGCAGATTGGAACTGGTTTCACAAGTTCCTGAGGAATGCTGGCCTTTATCTAACCACCAGAAATCTGCCTATGGCCCAGTCTGGGATCATTTCTAGCCATCTCAGGTCCAGCCTGAGACCTTGAGACCTAACACAGGCAAGGCAGAGGCTAGTCACCCAGAGAGGGTGCTGGCTGTTGAGAGAATAAAATACTTGAAGACAATAACTCCCTAATTCCAAAGAGGCCAAAGTAAGATGGGACCCCCAAGGGCACGGCTCCCTCCTGAAAAGCTGGTAGTGTGCTTCTCACCCCACCCCAAAGGTCAGGGAGAAGCTAGAGGGCAGCTGGTTTCCAGGTCTTAAACTGCTCCGGGCAGCCCCAGTGGCAACCAGGGCAGTGTGCAGTTTCCACGATAGATACACAGAGTGGGGACCCTCCCTAACCAGAAGCTATGAAAACTTCCCAATTCAGACACTACAGCGCATGAGGTGGGGTTCCTCCCCACGCTTTAAGGAGCACTGGCTCCTCGGCAGCCACTCATAATGAACTCCAAAGTTGCCCCAGTTCATGCTCGGACTCGGGGCGTACACCTGCTGATGACCCCCAATGTTCCCCACTCCATGGTAGCTATAATGTAAATGTCCTGAAGTCAGTGTTTGAAGCGACATGGGCTAAGAACGTGGCAGAATGTGGCAGCAGGAAAGGCGTCTCTCTGAGATAGCACATAGGCACCCGTCAAGAAACAGGACAGCGCGCCGCTCTAGAAGGGAAAGTTACTGTAGAGGCTGCGAAGAGCTGAGGGGAGGAGGCAGCCGAGAAGACACTCGAGGAGCTACGCGGATACCTCCAAGAATGTGGAGTATTAAAGGGGGTGGGAATTTAAAGGGGATGGGAATTTGCCTCCAGATACGCCAAAGCTCAGCAGAGCATCAGCAATGCTTTGCAGTCTGATTAGAACAACTGCTAGATCTTAAAGCACAGAGAGAAGGGGGAAGAGAATACAATACAGGCTGAGACAGTCAGTGCCTAGAAATGGCCCAGTACCTGGAAACACACTTCTAGTCCTGAAGCTTTGCATTCCAGCCAAACTGAATAAACCGGACAGAACCAGTTGGGAGAGGGCAAAACAAACAGTACGTATCTGGCCCAGGAAGACCAAGTGCTTCAAAGACCAGACTGAGCTGGCCCCTCGGCACCAAATCAAGACTAGATCTGAAGTCATCCTACAATACCGGGCAATAAAAACAGAGGCTGGGCAGCTATGAAAACCCATAGGGAAGGCTGTTAGATCACAAGTTCCTGTCAGAAAAAAACACCCATCATGGAAAACTGTTCTGAAGTTTTATACCACCACAATATCCAGAATAATTCCCACTGAGGAAGACTTCAGGAACTTCCTTCGGGGCTAAAATTCACATTCTGATAGATGGCTCATCAGGCCTCTGTCACAAACACCAAAAGCACAATACCCTAGAAGTCTGTTTTATAAATTTCAAAATATTTGAAAAACTCTGTAGACAGTCCGGTGCCGTCCATTTCTCAGGCTGCAACTGACATTCTAAGATAATAAAGTGATCGATATGCAGACATGAAGACAATCTAAGTAGGTCCTTGAATCTCTCAATATATTGCTCTATGGAAACAATGGATCATAAAGAAATGAGAATTTCCCCAGGAATCTCATCTAGAGAAGGAACAGGCACCAGCTAGAGGGGGAATGTGTCTCCCTGGAAGACCTCACAGATTGCTACTGACCAAACTGTCAGACCACCTGCAGGATGAGGATGGAGGAGGATGAGTCTGTGGAGGGTGGGACCACATCTTGACCAGACCTGCTTGGAAGCGTACGTTCCTCTATTTAAACTTTAGTCTCACTGCAGGACTGAAGACTGACTTCAGGGTTCCCTAGATCTCCTCGTCCCCTTTCCAAATGTGGACAGTGAGCATCCATACTTGAAGTTTCCACTAATTTGACTCTTTAATTTCTACTGAGGATGGTGGCAGGACCTGCCTCGGGTGGGTTGTGACCCCCACTTTGACAACAATCGTGATAAGAACTTCAGTTACAGCATTTTTCACAAACATATAAATTCTGCAAAAGTGCCTTCCAGGATTAATGCTCTCCCAGTCTTTTATGAGACCTAGGAACCCTGTTCTAAGCTACTGGAGATTTTATTTAAGGAAGCTGTACATTTGCAGTGAGGGAGCTTGAGGTTGGACCAGTCAGCAGGAGACTGTGAGCCCTGGGGTCTGGGAACTGATTCCAGTCTAGTGATGCTCCCATCCGGGAACCCAGTCAGCTTTATGTTTTCCATAAACAAGTTTCTGGAATTTTTAGAATTATATGTAAAATGGATTTATTTATACTGGATTACTCTAAGGAATCAGTTGTGGCTTTAATTTGTAACCATCATGTGAAATATGTGTTTTCTTTTAAAAAGTTTTTTAAAATTACATTTATGTATTTATGTCCAATCCCAGGGGATCTGACATCTTTTAGCATCATCAGTAGGCACTGTACCCACACAGGTGCATGCAAAACACTCTGACACAATAAAACAAATATAAATCTTAAAACATACTAAATATATAGCAGTCAAGACTTTGACTGAATTGCCCAAAAAAACAAGCACCAATAGAACAAACCAACCATGGAGCCTAGGAATAAGCTCACAAAGTCAACTGATCTTTGACTCTGTGGGAACAAAGCTCCGTTATAGAACGTTTGTCTAGCTTAAGGCTAGCGGCTGTTACAATGCTTGCTTGGGCTAGACCCTGGGTTCAATCCCTGAGAATACATGGTTTGTGGCTACTTCGGAAAACAGTCTGGCAGCTTTTTATAAAACTAAATCTATATTCAACACCTGATTCTGCAATGTGCTCTTTGGGGTTATCCAAGCCATCTGCTGATGTCCAGCCTCAATCCACACATGACCCAGATGTTTACAGCAGTAATGCTGAAACTTAGAAGCAACCAAGATGTTCTTCAGCAGGTGAAGAGAAAAAAATAACCCCTGAAAGATATAGATAATGAAGTAGTATTTGGTACTAAGACACAAACTACCATGCCAGGAAAGAAAGAAACCTTAAATGTATAAGACTAAGTTAGGGAAGGAAGTCAGTCTGAAGAGACTCCATGTAGCCAAGAAATGAGGTGATTTCAACTACATTATATTCCAGAAAAGATAAAGCAAACATGCAGGGGAAAGAGGTGGCTCAGTGCCCACAAGTACTGGCTGCTCCTATACAGAATCTGGGTTCAATTCCCAGCACCCACACAGGAGCTTACAACATCTGTAATTCCACTGTCCAGGGGATCTGACACAGTCCTCTGGCCTCCACGGGTACCAGGTAGACAAATGGGGCATACACATATATACAGGCAAAATACCCATATACATAAAATAATTATAATTTTAAAAATACAGGCAATAAATAGATTAGTGGTTTCCAGAGGCTGGGGAAGGGGTGGGGTTATTATTTACTATCATGTGAGAGAAAAAGAGAGAGAGGGACCTGGCACACATATACCATGATACTTGCGCATGGAGGTCTGAGACATCTATGGGGAATCAGTTCTCTCCTTTCTCAGGGGTTCTAAGATCAAACTCAGGCTTGCACGGCAAGTGTTTTAACCACTGAGCCATCTTACCTTGCTGGTCTGACACAGAGGTGCTGCTGCTGGGATTTCAGGCAAGCACACCAGTGTGGGCAGAGCCCAGTGTGAGCAGAGCAGGGTAGAAAGAACCCGGGCTCTTCCATCAGCTCCTTCCACAGTCATGGAGGATGAATAGGTTTGCATAATATCAACGGGTACTGCTTCAAGGACAGTGTATCTCCTGCAGAGGAGATCTGAGCGGTCCAGACCGATCTGAGGGGTGTAGGTAAGTGAAGGAGAGCAACAATCGAGATCCAGACAAACCTGTTAGCAAATTAGTGTCACAATGGGCAGATGTGGGGGTGACAAACTCCTGAAGAAGGCACAGGACACAGTGCACAACTGGTGTCCCAGTGGAGGACCCATCACCACAAGTGCTATAGACCAAGGCTCCCGACCATGAATCTAATCCTTAGGACATGTTGGATAAATCCACACTGGAGAGCAAAGGAACTTATCTTATAACCTTGAAAAATGCCAGTAATCAGGACCTGGGCCATAGCTCAGAAGGCATCTCCTCTGCCTAGAATATTCAAGACCCTAGGTTCAATACCCAGCACATAGCTGTCCCCTGAGAGGCTCTGCCAGAGCTACACCAAACTTGAATGTACACAGCCAAACATTGGGCTGAGCACGAGGATCCCAATGGGGAAGTGAGGTCAAGGACTGAAGGAGCTGAAGAGGTCTGCAACCCCATAGGAAGAACAACAATATCAACCAACCGACCGATGGCCACACACACACACACCCCACCCCACCCCCGCAAAGCTCCCAGGGACTAAACCACCAACCAAAGAGAACGGGGTGGGGGAGCAGAGGGGGAGGACCCATGGCTCCAGCTGGGAGCCCCTTGGTGCTGTGGAGGCTTGATGACCTAGGATAGGGGAAAGTTATGTCACTGAGGCAGGAATGGGTAGTCGGGTGGGGGAGCACCCTCATAGAGGCAGAGGGGAGCGAGGAGGGGACAGGGGCTTGTGGAGGGGAAACTGGAAAGGGGGATAACATTTGAAATGTAAATAAATAAAATAATCAATAAAAATAAAAAGGAAGAATAATGATCAACATCATGACCAAGAAACTGTTTGGGTCAAAGGAGGTCAAAGAGATGTGACCCCCAAAATAGACTGTCTTAGTTAAGGTCTTACGGCTGTGAACAGACACCAGGACCAAGACAACTCCTATAAGAACAACATTTAACGGGGACTGGCTTACAGGTTCAGAGGTTTAGTCCATCACCATGAAGGAAGAAACGTGGCAGCATGCAGGCAGGTATGGTGCAGGCGGAGCTGAGAGTTCTACATCTTCATCTGAAGGCTGCTAGGAGAAAACTGGCTTCCAGCCATCTAAGATGATGTCGTAAAGCCCACGCCCAGAGTGACAAACCTACTCCAACAAGGCCACACCTTCCAATAGTGCCACTTCCTGGGCCACGCATATTCAGACCATCACATGGATCCTGTACTAAAGAAAAACCTACCTGGGACATTATTGGGCTAAGACCCTGGGATGCAGGGTCTAAGTAAACCGTTTCCCATAATATATGACTCATCGGCTTCACAAGACTGAAATCAATCACACTGCAGTGAAACTGTAGACAGACAGCAGCAGGAACAGAAAATTCATAACATTTAGAAATTAAACAAAACAAAGAATCTATGCGCTGATGGAGTGATCACAGGAGAAATCAGAAATGATCTTGAGACAATGGAAAACCAAGAGGCCATACTGGAAAAGGCTGCAAAGCAGGTTTACATCTGAAGAATAGGGGTGGGGAGAGACTGAACCTAAAGCCACCTGAAGAAAGGAACTAGAAAAACAGAAAGGCAACAACAAACACAAACACAATAAAACTAAGGTCTAGCGGCTGAAAACATTAACAAAATTAACACTTTTTTGTTTTGTTTTGTCATATTGTTTTTGAGATGGGGCATGGCACATAACATTGCCTTGTCCAGTCCAATGCTTACTGTGCAGAGCAGGCTGCTGCTAAAGTTGCAGTAATCCTCCTGTCTCAGCATCCTGAGTTCTGAGAGTACAGTACGAACTACCACTAGAAGCTACACTTAAGTCAGTTGTCCATCTGTCTAAAGCAACAGGCAGAGTTGATGTGTCCCCAACCTACACCCCAATAAGGTTGTTAACGCAGAAACAGAAAACCCATTCTAAAACTGACATAGAACTTTTATAGATTTGCAGATGGCCAAAATAATCAGACAAAAAAAAAGTTTGAGGTCTCACACTTTTTTCTTTAAGTTTTCAACACAGGGTTTCCCTGTATGGCCTGGTTGTCCTGGAGCTTGCTCTGTAGGCCAGGCTAGAACTCAGAGATCCACCTGCCTCTGCCTCCCAAACACTAGAATTAAAGGTGTACACCACAACACTTGGCCTATCCTTTTTTATTTCAAAATTTATTCTATCTTAATGGTAATCAAAGCAGTCTATGCCAATGAGGGAGAGCAGCCAGCCCAGAAATAAACCCTCACCTATTCAGTCAAATGATCTCTGACAAGGGTGATTGTGTTACCAATCTGGCTGAGGTCTTTTCACTCTGTCCAGACAGAAATCATGGCAGGCCAGGAGAAACTGCTCAAGGGCTGTTGCTTTGCAGTGTCTGTGTCTCTCAGCATGTAACAGTAGCAAGCTGCAGCAGAAGGAAGGCAGAAGCAGCAACAGGTGGTACCCTATCGTTACAGCTCAGACACAGGCCTCAGGTAACAGGTCTCTGAGCACTACAAACACTCAGCTCCTACACAGGCTAAAGGAGCTGGTATCCCTTAGCATTCAGCAGCTGTCACTGCAGTCTCTGAGCAGACTCAGGAATTAGACTCGGCCCTGACAATGGTCGGTGTCAAAGCTCAGTGGCCTTGGGTGGGGGACTCTTGACCTTATAGGTGCTGGAATTCTTCCAGTAATCAGAGACCACTCATGGACTGGCTCTAGAGCAGTTCACACTTCTGCAGCCTCAGCTTTGTCCTTCTGTTATTTCAACTGCTTTTAAATGTATGGCCGTGGGGAGCACATGTGTGCAGGTACCCACAGAGGCCTGAAGAGGGCGCTGGACTCCCTGGACCTGTAGTCACAAGCAGTTGTGAACTGCCTGACATGAGTGCTGGGAACCAAACCAGAATCCTCTGGAAGAGCAGTAAGTGCTCTCAACCACATTAATCACAGAGTTTTCCACTCACCCCACACCACTTAAAAGAAGACAAGGAGAAGTTGTTTATTGGGCCTCCTGCTGCAGGAGATAGCTTGGGAGGGTATCTTTCTCCCAAGCAACAGCCTGCTTACCCCTAGCCAGAGAAGGGACACATTAGCACACATCACAGTAGTACAACTGATAGACCAGGGTCGTCCAGAACTCAACAAAGTTGGTGACAGCAAAAAGTCTCAACTGTTTGAAATAGTTCTGACTGAGGCTGAACCTTCAACTGTCAGTGGCCAGCCCTCCTTACAGTGTACTTTTCTCAAGGCATCTATCAGGTGCTTAACAGCCAGTGGGGGCGTGAGGGTGGTCCAACTGGCTGGTTGGCAGACAGTCCTTCTGTTCAAGGCAGCCAGAATTCTACAATAATCCAGGTGGGAAATGATATGCTTGGTCAAAGCAGGGTACGAAGAAGTTTGATTATACTCTGCGTATATCCCCCAAGTGGGGCTATAGGATGCCATGACGTGGGATATGAAGGGGAAATATCAGTCACTATGTTGTCCCACACAAGCCCTGGAGGGCCAGACTTCCATGTGAAATGGGGAAGGCCAGGGAGAGCAGTGGGTAAGAGAGCTTGCTGTAAGAACAAGGACCTTAGTGAGGTCCTAAAATGCTGGGTGTGTCTGGTAAGTGTGAGACATTTACTGAGGTTCGAAAGGAAAAGCGGTTATAAAAGTAGATCCTGGTGAATATATTTGAGGACAACATAGACAGCAGGACCTGAAGTCAGGTGACAAGATGAAGTCACTAAAGGGATGAGACAGCAGAGGAAAACCAAGAGCATGATGTTCCACGGGTCAGAAAGAGCTGAGGCCAACTGCTGAGGGATGTTGACTGGACCTCACACGCAGGGATCTTGTTGACATTAGATGTGACCCCAAATAGGACTTTATCTGTGTATATATGTTTATATATGTATTTGTAGTATTTTTGTGTGCATGTATGTGGGGGCCTGCACACATGAGCACACATCTATAAACCAGAAGTTGACACTGATTGCTTCTCCACTTTGTATTTTGAGATAGGGTCTCTCACTGAACCTGGACTGGAATGTGCAGATTTGTCTAGTCTGGTTGGAGGTTGCAGATTTGGCTCGTCTGGTTGGAGTGTGCAGACTTGGCTAGTCTAGCTGGCCAGCAAACTCCTGGGAACCTGTTCTACTTCCCCATGATAGGATTATGAGCTGTCACCAGTGTGCTCAGATTTTTTCTTTTTTTCTTTTTCTTTCTTTTCTTTTTCTTTTTTTCTTCCTTTTCTTTTTCTTTTTTCTTTTTTCTTTTCTTTTTTTTTTTTTGTTTTTCAAGACAGGGTTTCTCTGTGTAGCCCTGGCTGTCCTGGAACTCACTCTGTAGACCAGGCTGACCTCGAACTCAGAAATCCGCCTGCCTCTGCCTCCCAAGTGCTGGGATTAAAGGCGTGCGCCACCACTGCCCGGCGATTTTTTTTCTTTTTAAAGATTTGTTTATTTAGTTTATGTACATGTTTTTTTTTTATGCTATTTATTCCCTGTAGCTGTCTTCAGACACACCAGAAGAGAGCATCAGATCCCATTACAGATGGTTGTGAACCACCATGTGGTTGCTAGGAGTTGAACTCAGGACCTCTGGAAGAGCAGCCAGCCATCTCTCCGGCCCTGTGCTTAGGTTTTTACGAATGTCAGATATCCAAATGTGCACATGTCTGCACGGCAAGTACTTTCCCAATGGAGCCCCTTCCCCAGAAGTGAGCCTTTATCATTAGTGCCCAATACACTTATCTTAATTCTGTCTGATGAATTCAACGGAGCTCACGGCTCAGCACTTCCTGTTATTTTGTGAGATGTTTATATTTTCTTAAGCCTTCTTACCCCCAAATGAGCATTATAATCACTCTGAATAAGCTTTTTGAAAAGGCTCTGGTGGCACAAGCCTGTCTGTAATCCTAGTCCTTCTGGAGGCTGAGACAGGCCGATCAGAAGTCCAAGGCTAACACAGGCTACAGAAACGAGTTCAGGGCCAATATGGGCAAC